TTCATCTTCAGTGATATCAAGCAGCACTTACTCAATGTTAACTGCTGATTGATACTTGATTTGGATTCAATTGGGGTCATTTGGCACCTGACCTAATTACAGCCTGACTCCAAACTTAGAAGAGCTGAATTTAAGCAGTGATGACAGAGCAACTGCCTTGATATCAAGCCTATATTTAACTGAGTGCGCATTAAGGAGCCCTAAAGGAATTAAAATCAATGGAATCAGAAGAAAAACTCTCCACTGATTAGAGTTTTACCCTGTGCAAAGAAAGATCATTGTAGTCTTACAGCTGAATCATCTCAGCTGTACAACCTCACTGCAGAATTTCTTGATATTTTCCTGATCAATCTGTTCAGAGATGTTGTTACACACCACTGGAGCCAATGGGGCTCAAATCCAGGCCTCCTAGCTCAAAGCTGGGAACAAGGCCACTGCACCACAAGAGCCACGTGTAAAATTTCTCAGCAAACGATCCTGTCTAGTTTCACGTCTTGCTGTATTGACTTCCCTCCATCACGAAGTCTGAAGCGGGGATTTCATGGTGTTCAATTCCATTTGAAAATCTTCAAATAATGTTGGTGCTTCCATGCAACAAGACTTGGACAACATTCAGGTTTGGGCTGATAAGTGATGAATAATGTTCATGTGAATGAAGTGGCAAATAATGACACTCTCCAAAAAGAGTGAATTTAAACATTACCAGATAAATCCAGTGGCATTTCCATTACTGAACCCTCTGTTATCAACATCCTGGGAGTTACCATTGGCCAGAAACTTAACTAGAAAAACCATATAAGTACTGTGCTAAGGCTGTACTGGTGCAGTGATAGCATCTCTACCTTTAAGCCAAGGCCTAGGTTCAAGTCCCACCCTCCATCAATGTGTAACATAACATGTCTAAACAGGTTGATCAAAATAACTATAAGTAACGTGCTTGCCACAGGAGGTCAGCGGGTGGGAATTCTGCCTAAACAACCCACCTCATGTATCCCCAAAGCCAAGGCACAAGCCAAGATTGTGATTGAAATACTCTCCATTTACTCAGCTGAGTATCACTCCAATATCTCTAAAGTAGCTCAATACCATCCAAAACAAAGCAGCCAATTTGATTGGCACACACATCATTTTGAACATTCAATCCTTCCACCATAGTGGCAACAATGTGTATTGTCCACAAGATGCCAAGAATCCTCGAGCAGCACCTTTCAAATTTGTAACCTCAACAACTTAGAACAGCAGGATGCATAGGAATTCCACCAACTGCAAGTTCTCCAAATCACACACCATTCTGACTTGGAAATATATTGACATTTCTTCACTACTACTGGGTAAAATCCTGCAAGCCCCACTTTTAACAGCACTGGGTGTATGTAGGCTACACAGAATGCAGCAACTTAGAAGGCAGCTCACAACAACCTTCTCAAGTGCAATTAGAAATGGGTAATAAATACCATCCTTGCTGACTTCACATGAAGGAATACCTCTAGGTTTCATTTTGTGCCAAGATTGTTAAGGCATCTATCTGAATGGACATTCAACCAAAAAAGTGGCATTTGTTGACCATGGCACAGCCTCTGTAGTACACTGAGGGTATGAATCCAGATTAAGTAATTAAATCCTGCTTTTATGCTCAAATCATGACTTTCAAACCAAGAGGCAAAATAGTACCGAATGAGCCATGCTGACAAGTGGAAGACTTTCCTCATGAGTGAAGTTTAATACACTGATTATTTTTTATCAAATCCAACAGAATATTTCCTTGAAAAATATAGTCGAAACTTGCACAACACACTGATACATTGCTAAGTATATTCACGCTAATTATCTTGCCTTCCACGAAATTGGATCCGGGTCTATATTTCGTTCCATTTATTATGATCCCAGGGGTCGGCAGCCCAATATTGCAATTTAATCTAACAACTCAAGTAGATATTTGACAAAGCTTTTAAAATTAGTTTAAATTAAGATACAGATAGTTTAGGGATTGAAATAGCCCGATCTAATCTTATTTTACGTTTTTTCAACCAAGAAAATAATATTTAACTGATGCATCTAACACTGAAATCAGTTGGCGGATTTGAACACTGGGCGGTGCAAATAAGTCACAAATGGCATTTCACAATTGTCCTGATGTGTTAACTTTGATTCTGTATAATACGCTAAACGTTTGCACGTAATACAGTGGCCTTAGAAATGCATGTACCCTACCATTGAAACCGTTACATTTGCAGTTTAAATATGTATTAAAAAAATAACTTTTTACACAAATGTTCCATTTTTATCCCGACTTTGGGATGCGTCATATGAAATAACATTTACAAAGTAAATACTTTTGTGAGACTTCACAGCTGTTGAATAGGGAAATATAATATAAACCCTTAAAACAAAAGCAAAATACTGCGGGCGCTGAAGATCTGGAATAAAGAATAGAAAGCACTGGAAATATTCAGCAAAATCTAGCAGTATCTGAGAAAGAAAGCAGAGTTAACATTTGCGTCCAACATATCTTCTTCCAAACTAAAGACAGAGGTCGAAAAGTGATAGGTTTTATGCTGTAGAAAAAGGTTGGCGGAGTAAGTGGAACAGAAGGGAAGATTAGTAGACGGGGAAGATTATTCGTCAAAGAGATTACAGAACAGAAAGCAAAGGGAGTGAAAATACTTGTAGGGAAGTGACAAAACTTGGCTCCAGAGTAGAAGCAATCAAGTGTTAACTCTGTTTCACTCTCCACAGATGCTATCAGACATGTTGAGTTACTCCGGCACTTGCTTTTATTATAGAGCGTATATGTACCTCGTCAGTCCCAGTAACTAAGAAAGTTGGCCAATGGAGAAGAAACACATCACTGGTAATTTCAGGGACCATACCAGGAGTGAATTGTTGCCACAGCGGTGTCTCCTCTAGAATTCTGCTCCTTGGTCGCCAAATTATTTTGCTTATTGACTAAAAATTGACCAAGACAGCCCTTTTCTAATTGGTCTGGAGTGATGTCGTTTCGATTAAATTCAATTGTCAAAAATATTCAGTTACATTAAACCGTAAAGTCAACAACCTCCGCATCAAAAGTCTCAAAGATTCTGGACAAATATTTTAGAGCTTGCATTCCCGAAGACTACTTCGAATTTGGCTAATTCTGCAGAGCAACAGCCTGACAAACGTGATCGCATTTGGTGAACAGAATTGTAGGGCTTTGCTACACCATAGAAGCAGGGAACTGCTGGGAGAGATACCTTTATGGCAAACGTTGCTGCAGATCCTTCTGTGCGTGGTGGTTTTATTTTCTAACAATGAGAACTTGTATATTTTAATTTGTACAATTGAGTTAGGACAATACAACCTTCCCCTGCAGTTCTACCGTATTTCTCTTTTCATTATGCAGAATAAGCTATGTTTAACACGGAAGTAGTCTTTACCCTTCCTGAACTATCCTGAATCTAGAAACATTTGTGAGTTCGCTGATGTAACTTTGATTCATTGAAATAGGTTGGTACTTGTGATATAAAATGCAGTACAATGCAAGTTCTTTGTGTTCTCCATGCAAGGCACAGAAATGTTGATGCCCATTGTACAGCCAGAAGGCTTAGCTTTGCTGGGCATTGCTGTCCTCCAAAATGAACCATTTCTCGCCCACTGAAAGTGGCATCAGCTGCGGATATCACCACGGCCGTCATGGACGTGCCTTGGCCCTTCCTTTCCTCCGTATTTCTTTGTTCCCCCACTTCCCCGAAACACATTTCGAAAAAGAAACAAGAGAACCTGAAACTGGTACAAATTGTGTCGGCTTGTCGTGTTCAGGATACCCCAGTTTCATGGTGCCCCGCAGCCTCACAGCATCGTTTGAAATAATGCCCTGGAGGATAACCAAGCTAACAGTGAAGGCAACCAGAATTACCTGTTTTGGGGGAGAAAAATGACGAATCTTTGAGAGCTATGGACTAAGTCTATCAGATGGTTTGAACATTTCTCCAAGTCCTTCGGAAGGAGAAGCGGGCTCTGTCTTAACATTGTAGACCATTAATACATAGATTAACAATGAAAGATCCAAATTCATATAATCTTTGTTGGTTATCTTTAGATGGTCAAGAAGCAGACCGGGGTAACCATTGTTTTCTAACTGAAAATGCGAACGTGGCTATTGATATCTTCGCAACTGCTTTCACAGTTGGAATACTCATGGACTCCACAGCGGGAACATACCTCAGTTAGATGTAAGTGCAGTGGACTGAGCCTCTCTCTCTCGGGAGGCTTAGGCACAACACTCTGACTTGCCACTTTTATGAAGTGCTCGGGTAACTTGCTGACACTTCATAAAAATAGTATTTTCTCTTTTTTGACGTTACAAAGCACAGACAAAATAAGCGGGTGGCACTCATCTGGTATGATAGAGTATGTCTTCACTGCGAGACAACAAGGTGCAGAGCTGGATGAACACAGTCTTCACTGCTGTCATTTTACTGGCGGGTTTCACTCACTGCGCGACTACTAATGCAGACTGGTCGCTTTAAAAACACTGTTACACAGTCGCTGATATCTGAATAAGTGCGGCGTCCTCCAATTTGTACCCTACCGCCTAGAAGGGATGAACTGCCTGAACACAGATAGCCGCCATTTATTAAGGTTAGAAGGATATGATTGCTGATGTCTGCTCCTTTATAACAGTGAAATAATTCATGAGCACCTTCTAAAGCAGCCTCCATCAAAGCAGTTTCCACTTGGTAAGAAGCCCAAGCCATGTGAGGGAAGCCTCTCGCTGTCATTTGGCTTCGTTGTGTCGAAGAAGCAGATTAAAACCAGACTCCTAAATGATCCGGCACTTTGTGCGCGTGTGTGTGTGTTGATGTGAGCCGAAAACATTTCACACGAAGGCAAAACAAAAACCGCTTTAACTGCAGTCTTTGGGCATCTTCTGGTGAAAAAAAAAAATCAGGGTTCCTTGACCATCTTTAAAGATTTCATAAAACGCCAGCTCTGCTATAAATGCCACCAATAAATAGTCATTCTAAAGGGAAGACTTTTAATTAAAACCCATCTTAACAACTCCAAACTGAATTTATGGTTTAGCAACACAAATAGATTGCTGGAAAAGCTCATCAGGTCTGGCAGTTATCTGTGAAGAGAAATCAGAGTTAACGTTTTGGGTTCGCTGACACTTGCTCAGAATTTATGGTTTAGCCTCCATTTTTGCATCTAGACTGTGTTTCAAAGAAAAAGAACCCGAGCTATACTGGTGTGGAAGAAGGATAGATCCAGATAAGGGCAAATCAGAAGGGGCATCATGAGCTAATCGTCAAATAAAACCCAAATTGTTGCGCAAAAGAAACGTTATTTCCGCTCTAATTCAGGGTTAAATTGTAAGGTGTAATTTTTTTGGATTGTAGACCGTCTGTAGAATGGATACTGAAGGCTTGGCAAATTCCGTCCACGTTGTGCCGATCCTCATCACACCACCGCCTCCCACCCCCCACCAGCGCAACAGGCCCCCACAATCTGGGTCACCCCGGAGGAGGGCTCAATCACTGCTCCAGCCACAGCGTGTCAATATCTCTGCTTTCAGTATGTAACTGCTCAATTCCGCCTTCACAACCACTCCAGACAATACACGCTTTCAAATGCTTATTCAGCAGCTGGTGGTTTAACACGGAGTCCGCGCGAGAGAGAAAAAAATAAGTTTTATAAAAATAATTCCTGTAGCTCACTTCAAAACAGCAAACCACAAGACACATTCAGAAAGTAAACTTATTAACTGGAATCGGGGCATTTTTTTTTAACCACTTGGACGGAAACTGGTGCCAAATCCAGACTTTAAAGGGAACTCATCAATCAAAAAGCTGTCAGCTTGCCGTAATCGAGCAATGGGGCATGTAGTTGCTGGATATGACCCGTGTGTTCCAACGGTGGGAGGTAAAAGAGCGCTGTTACTCAGACTCAGTGCCCGGGGTTTTTTTCGATTTGTTCATCCGTTTTAGACTTTCTCCCTCCCTTACTCCCGGCCAATTGAATTAGGGTTCCAGACTGCAAAAAAAGGCCTACTTATACACACTTCAAACAATAGACATCTGCACCGACTGACTCACCCCCACAACCCTCAACCCCGAGCGCTGGGTTCTTCTATCACGGCGAAATTTTCATTCTCTCTCTTTCTCTCTGTCTCGTATTAAAATACTTTGTACCTGCCTGCGGTATTTGAGGCGAAAGAGATCAGTATGTATTTAAAGAACCGAGAACATGTACAACAGTAAACGGTTGACAAACTGTAAAATCTACAGGGTAACAACGAGGCAAAATCCTGCCTTTGATTAGAAAGCTGGGTCACGGTTATCGATGTCAGAAAGCAATGTTAGTTTATATTCAATAGAAAGTGAGCAGTGGGGGGAGGCTATGGACACACGTTGCCCAAATCTCACATTACACCAATCGAATTTGATAAATATGCTGCAGAAGTAAATGGCATGTTATTATGCTCGGGGTCAGGAGGGTCGGGGAGACATGGGACGTCGGCCCAGCGTGGCTCAGTCAGATCTCAGCTCTTCATGAAATCGTTCTTCAGTCTGCTGAGCCTTGTACCGTGACTTCTGATGATCAGGGTAAGGAGTTCGTGCTTATCGCTCAAGCCCGACGAGATCTCCAGCGTCTCCCTCAGAATCTGCCTGGTGTGGTACAACATGTGCAGCACCTCGTCGTTGATCTTGTTCACTTCCCTCAGCTCGCTTTCTTGGCTCTGGCGGAACTTCAGCTCCAGCTCAACCAGAGAGCGGTCCGAGTGCGAGAACGCCTCCCCGATCTGGCTGGTCTCCCGGCGCAGGTAATTGCCGTAGCTGTCCTCGCCGTCCAGGTCATGGGCGATGCTTCTGCCGACTCCGTCCAGCACCCTGGCCGCGTCCTCCACTTGCCGCTGGATGATGAGGATCTCCTGCTTGAGGAAGGTCTGTAGGTCGGCTTCCATCCCGCAACGTCGGTCGTCCGAGACGCGGAAAAGCATCTGGCACTTTTCGGGGTCGTCGTTCTCTTCGTAGTCACCGTCCGGCACGAAGTAATGGTGAAAAGTACCATTGGACATCTCCGGGTGCAGGGGCCCTGTGAAGTAGCCCTGAGTTAGGGAGCACAGCAGACTGGCGTAGAATACTCGCAGAGCCAACATCTTCAATGCAACCCGCCGGGCAGAAGCCGCCACTCTTTAAGACCTTTTGGAAACATAGACTTTTTCTTTCCCCATTGTGGGACCCCCAGCGGAACATCCCCGTCAAGTCTCCGCTCCCATCTCCGACCAATGATTCCTCTGCAACCCAGCCGTAAGGTGTAATTTGAGTTGAGCTTTTTTTTCACTCTGCTTTCCACGTCTCTCTCTCTTTCCAACAAGTGTTTCTGCTCAGCCGTCAAATCAGGGAGAATATGGAAAGCTTAGATGACAGTCCTTTGGCAGGCGCCCCGAACAGACCAACATCTGGCTTTTGAGAGGACACGAGCCAGCGACGTGTCCTCTCTCTCTCTCTCAGAACTGGGAGACAGTTATAGCGCCAGTTACATGGGTCCCAACTAACCCCTTCGTCTTTGCTTTTGAAGAAAAAATACTGCTTCGTAAATAAAACTTTGTTAAATATTGTTTTCTGTGCGTGTTGGCAAACCTACTTTGCGCCTTTTAAAACTTCACTCCCTCTCTAGTTACCGGGATCCTTTCGAAATTTTAGAGCTTCCTTTCTCTGACCGGACCCCCTCACTTGAACTAGGGACGTGATTTAAAACATCAGCAAACAGCGCCTTCCCCACTTCCAAAATAAATCTCTGCTCATTTCGGACACCGATTGCTAACAGGTCAGTTTGACTGAGCTGACCTCCTCCGTAGTGCCATCAATGAATACTGTCGCTTGTTCAGTGCTGTAAGTTTTACTCTCCCAAACAAAATCAAAACAAGCCTAAGGTAGTAGTTTTAAAGGGATTCACTGCAGCCACGATTCCTGCTCATTGAGAAACTCCACTTTTTACTTCAAGCCTCCCCTTTCCCAAACCAACTTCATCATTGTTTTTGTAACGCTATCATTCACTTGGTGGAGATTTCGAGCTATTTTGTTCCTTCTGTACGGTTCGAGGTCCAGTTTCACTGCAATAAGTGTACGGATCACACAGAGCCAGATACTGGAACTGACCCACAGCAAATAAATCTTATTACTTAATAAAACCCGAAAGAACTGCGGATGCTGTAAATCAGAAACAAAAACAGAAATTGCTGGAAATGCTCAGCATGTCTGACAGCATCTGTGGAGAGAAATCAGAGTTAAAGTTTTGGGTCGAGTGACCCTTAGAACTTATTTCTTTTTTATATGCTAATTATTATAAATTAGCATCGAAGACACGAAACGAGGAACTATGGTTTCGGTATAACCCCAATTTGTTTTCCGACAAGGTCAAACCATAACTCGTCTTTTTCTCATTTGACGACATTCAGTATGTCCTGTTTTATTTTAAAAGATTGTTTGAGTCAAACTCTAGAATCAGTATCAGAGGCACCTTAACTACCTGAGATAGTAGGAACTGCAGATGCTGGAGAATCTGAGATAACAAGGTGTAGAGCTGGATGAACACAGCAGGCCAAGCAGCATGAAATCTGACGTTTCGGGCCTAGACCCTTCTTCAGAAATTTGAAGAAGGGTCTAGGCCCGAAATGTCAGCTTTACTGCTCCTATGATGCTGCTTGGCCTGCTGTGTTCATCCAGCTCTACACCTTGTCATCTCACCTTACCTACCTGGTTGTTTTCTGTAATGCAGCCAGCTAAGTTGTCAGGCAACAGCTAAAGTAGTTTGCAGCAATCTGTAATAAATAAATGCAAAGAGAGTCATACTGGACTCGAAATGTTAACTCCCTCTTTCCACCGAAGCTTCTTGGCCTATTAAGTTTCTCCAGCACTTTCTGTTTTTGTTGCAAAACGTGCATCTAACGCACATTGAAAGGAGAGTTTATGTAATATTGACCCTAACTTAAAAAAAAACAAATAAAAAGTGTAAAGAGAGTGAGGGGATAAGACCTAATACTACTCTTTCTTTCAACCTTCACGTTTTATGTGTCTTTTTGTAAACAATTGAAATCACAAAAAGAGAAATAGTTCAGAGACTCAAAACCAAATTATTGCACATCTCCAAAGGATCTGCGCTCTATGTTTGATAATCGACGCCTTCCTGTCGCCAATCACTTTAACTCCCCCTCCCACTCCCTTGATGACATGTCTTTCCTGGACCTCCTACAGTGCCACAATGACGGCCACACGCAAATTGGAAGAGCAACACCTCATATTCCGCCTGGGGAGCCTACAGCCCCATGGCCTTCACATAGAATTCACCAGTTTTAAAATCTCCCCACCCCTGGGCTCATCCCAAGTCCAAACCTCCCTCTCATGTGCCTTCCTGACCTAACACAACCTGTCCATCTTCTCTCCCACCTATCCAGGTGGGTCTTGAACCCAGGCCTCCTGGCTCAGAGGTAGGGACAACTACCACTGTGTCACACAAGCCCTCAACTCCTCAAGCTAGGGGCAAGTATTTTCAACTGCTTTAAATGAGCACATCTGCATTAGATTAGAAATGTGCTGTCTTATGGTGCAATGGTAGCGCATCTATCCTTGGACATGGAGGCCCAGGTTTAAGTCCCACCTGCTGCAGAGGTGTGTAATAACATCTCTGAATAGGTTGATTAGAAAAATAGGTTTATAAAAAAAAGGTAGGCTCCTTACACAATGTTAGGCTCCATTCTCAATGACTCAGGTACTGAAACAGTCTGTGCCCATATGCAGCCCCAGTTTTACATTGGACTGTCAGTCTTGATTTGGTTTTGTATGAAGTTCTGGAAAGTAACTTAAACCCAGTATTTAAGAAGCAAGTGTGCTATCAGCCAAGCCATAGGGGACAGCTCACACTATTCTGGCAGTGAAAACAGTAGGTGCAGGAAGGTCCAGCACGTCCATGTTTCCTTCCAAATCACACACCCTCCTGATCTGAATATTTCTCATCATTCCAAAATTAAAACTGTGCAAATTGTTCCTTATCAGCATTGTTGAAACTTTCTCCACACAAACTGCAGTGGTCCAAGAAGGAGGCCCATGACCACATTCTCAAGGACAATTCAGTGGCAATGAATGCTTATCTTGCTGCTATACCAAGATCACTATAATTTTTAAACAATTTTATTTTACTAGGCAACATTTATTTATTGCTTCCAGTAGTTTTTAAACCATTGATGAGGACACTGATTTCTTTAAACTGAACCACAAAGGAAAAACGTCATTATGTGTCAGAAATGTGTATGGACAGTCTACTATATACTAGTTCTTAACATTATAAGCCTAAAGTACTGGTAAAAAATAAGCCCCAAGCTTATTCATTTCTAGTATTTCTTCTTGAAGCCTCAGAGTGTGTTTATGTTGCAACTTGAGCATAGCTATAGAGTTGTTCTTGCTTGGCAGCCACATTCAAGTTGCACTACAAACCTGTGACCAAGTCCAGAGAATCTAGGATAGAGTATTGTAAGAGGCCTGGATGAGACAGTATTATATCACTTAGATTTCAGCCTTCATGGAGTAAAATTTCAGATTGTTTTCAGATCTGGTTATAAAACTATTTCACTCCACTTAAACCAGCCCACATTTAATTTGAATACTGTGAGGGTGCAGGTCCCCTGATGGTTCTTCATCCGCATACACTTTCACGATGAGCGTTCTTTTCTAGGGCAAGTGAAGTACAGTTTGAGGCAGTAAGCAGATAAAAACAGCATATTGCCTGGCTGTGCATATACATATTTACTAGTCCCTGTGTAAGTCCACCCTTATGAAAAAAGAAATACTTTCATAATGTGCTAAGTTGTAACGAAACACAGGTGTGCTCCCGAACAACTCACAATTAAGCACCCCAAATTTAATTGATTCAGAAACACTGGGAAATTTTAAACTGGCAAGAATTTGGTGTTTGTGCGATGTATTTATAAATAACAAATTCATTTTAATTATACTGAATACAAGAGTTTTTATTTGGAAGACAATTTGGATGTATAACCACAATACACCATGATACAAATGAAGTTGCAATTTTGCTAATTCCATTCATTATGGATTAGAGACAAAGAAGAAAGGGCAGAGAGATCTAGAAGCTCAGCCTTTGAAATGTGTAGATTTATAGATTGATGAATATGTGCAGATTCTTCCAATCTCACGTTTGCAGTCTAAGCTGTGTTTTTTTCAGTTTGCACTTCACACACAGCTGAATAAGGTTTGTGGATAGAAAAAGCCAGAACTAATGCAGAAGAACCAATGGCTGATCGAGAAGTGGAAAGAAGCAGTGTGAATATTAGATATACAAACACTTCTGGCTATGATTTATGGAAAATATTGTCCAGTCACAGAATGCCAGGGGTGAGAGTTTTACTAGGTGAATAAGAGAGAATGATGACTGGTTTAGACAGACGCAAGTGTAATCAGAGCAAAGGATAGTCATTTGTAGTGCCATTAGCAAAAATCTGCCTGAAAATTAGGACATGTAGATTTTTATGAAATTGTGGCGGAAATAACTACTACGAGGGTATAGGGGAGATGTCAGAGGTAGATTCTTCACACAGAGATTGGTGGGCGTGTGGAATGCGCTGCCAGCAGTGGTAGTGGAGTCAGATACTTTAGAGACTTTTAAGCGACTCTTGGATAGGCACATGGAGGATAGTAAAATGTAAGGCTTGCAGGGTCGATTGATCTTAGTAGGATAATAGGGCAGCACAACATCGTGGGCCAAAGGGCCTGTAGTGTGCTGTACTGTTCTATGTTCTATGTTCTTAAGTCCAGATAAAAAGCGACCAGAGAATGATAAAATATTTTGGAAGATCTAGAGTGTTGGAGGGTAACACGACTACAATAACTACCTTGTAGAGATTTATGAAATCATGACGGATATAAGTCAAGTGAATGGCATGTGTCTTTTCCATGGGGTTGGGAATTTCGAGGCCGAGGGCATATTTTTAAGACGAGAGGGGAAAGATTTAAAAAAAAATACATGCTGGACTACCCTTTTACACAAAGAATAGTTCATATGTGGAATGAACTTCCAGAGAGGGTGGTGGATGCGGGTACAGTTGCAACATTTAAAAGACATTTGAATAAGTATATGAATAAGAAATAGTAGGAACTGCAGATGCTGGAGAATCCGAGACAACAAGGGTTCAAATGTCTTTTAAATGTTGCAACTGTACCCGCATCCACCACCCT